CTGGCGGTTTGCGACAAAGTTGGCTATTAAGTTTTCCTCGATCAATCCCTCCAAGAAGTTCTGAATATTCAAATCTCAGCATACCTTACAGTTTAACAACGAACGATGAACTTTAAATAATAATTGTTTCAATTCCTACTTGAAAATTAGCGTGAGGATTTTTCAGAACAGGTGCTTCATTTCTGCAAAAAAATTCTACATTCCGTCTGTCGTCGCGACTTGAAAAATAATCCATTGAATAAGTGCGTGCTCTCTTTTCTTCTTACAGTTCTTTACTCAATGATAAATTAAACTAATTACTATTTTCCATCATAAAATTATGTCATTTGCTGCAAATTATCATGATTGATCAACACCTAAAATAATACTAAACAAAGACATTAAAATGGATTGGAATCACTCGCTCAGTTAGAATCGATCCAGACCTAATGAAAAAGGTGTTACAGTCAGTCATGTGTTATACGTTATAAACACTAGAACGTGTAACAATATAACTTTATGCTCTAATATTTCAATTAAAAATAGTCTACTCAATTCAAGCTCAATTATTGTCATTGATGGTCAAAAGTAATGCATTTGTTGGGCTGTAGGATAGTGAATTGACTTAGAATTTTCCTGTCATAATACTAAACATTATAGCAGAAGAACTATGACATGATTGTTTTCAACTTTATCATGAACACTACGCGTCAGCTTTTATTTTCATATTATAGCGATTGAATTTGTAAATATTTTTGTAATCATAAAGCAAATAAAAGCCACATATTTGTTTTTAAAATCCAAAGGTTTCACCCAGCTCGTACTATCTAAGTATTTTAGATTGCTACTTAGCAGGCCAGCCGAATTCAAACTCAGACGTTGTTACCAAAGTCTTTTTTACATGTACATTTGAACGCAGACCTCCTATTGTTAAAATTATTCGTGGGTGATTTTCCCGTTCCCCCTACAAAAACCCTTAGAAGATCTTAATAATCTTTGCTGAGATTTCATTTCTTGCTCGGAATTGTTCGATTTGAGTTCAAATTTGAGACCCCCAACCCTCGCGACCGTCCGCTGACTTGAATGACCTCCTCAGAGATCAGAAGCACCAAGGCGGCTCGCAGGCAATCTATCGACCTGATAAAGGTGAAACATACGTAATAAAGATTTCATTTCCCTGAATGGTGCCGTTACTTCAATTAAAATATTTTAAGAGCTTATTTTAGCCAAGAAGTAGTTATTCATAATATCATTCATTTAAAGCAGGGCATTATCAATCTTCAAAGATGTTACCTCAAACGTGAATTATAAATTTTAACTATCTGATTATATTCTCTTGTATTGAAAGTAAATTATTCCGCATGAACTGCATTGTTAAAGAGTAAAATATGCCTTTCTATTGATGCCATTCAAATTGAAGCATTTAACCCAAATAAATGAGGCATCCGCGCGATGCAGCCGGATTGAGAGTGAAGTGCGGAATAGTAAAGATCCTATAGTATCACTCGGTCAGCGCCAGCACACGGAACAAGTGTGTATTGCATGCTGAATCATTTGATATGTTCAAATAGGACAAATATCGTGGTTCTTTATTATATGACCTGGAATTTCCTCCAGTGAAGTTAGCCTGTATAAATTTAGATGCAGAGAGTTCTTCTTATAGGTTTTATTGTGTGTTTTTTATCAGGAATCATTAGGAGTGTCATTAGTCGGTTCAAGTGTTTTGTCTCTCACGCAGAGAGGCCTCCGAAGTTTGAACTTACGACTTCAGCTTATACACATTTTGCCAATCTCGTTGTTTGAATGAAATTATTATGAGATGTTGCCTTTATTCTACCGTCTGTGTTGAAGTGCCAGACACTTTTTGAAGTTCGGCACTTTATTCTACCGTCTGTTGAAGTGCCGAACCTGTTATGTTATTGCGGATAGGTTGAGGTCTGACGTTACACCCATTGTATCATGGCTTCCGTAACAGCATGAAACCCATGCGACGAGCATGCACTGAAAAAATTGAAAAGGTCATTTTATCCAAATAGTTACTCGATTCCAACACGACGCAAGAGGCGGGGGCGTGGGGCGCTAATCGGTTTAGTAAGGCGATTATTAGACTCGAGTCCGCGGCACTTAACTGTCAGGCTGGGACTTTGCTGCACGGTAAAGCTGCTCTATGCACAACGTCGTGTTTAAAGCTAGAAATTGTAAGTTAAAGTTATAAATTGAAATGACCTACAATATTTGAGTCCTGTCGTATTGTAATATTGTCCAGCCATTTACCGCTGCACTGTAAAGCTGCTCTATGCACAACGTCGTGTTTAAAGTGAGAAATTATAAGTTAAAATGATAAATTGAAATGACCTACAATAATTGAGTCCCGTCATATTGTAATCGTTTAGCGCTTTCTGGTTCACTGGCATTGACATTTCTGCTTCACTGTGCTCATATATTGTAATAAATGAGGATATTGGGAGAAGATTCTCGATATTAATGTAATTAATGATGAATAATGGATAATATTCATCCATAAGTTTATCATTATGTATAAAAATATTGAAGGTTGTATGTATAATTTGAATCGGAACTCAACTGTGCAAGCCACTTAATCTTATTTTCAATGGGTCTAATGAAACTTTTCTATATTTTTAAATATCATTCATAGTTTTGTCCATTCAAAACCGACAAGTATATATAAATTGAATCAACACGTGAAGGATTCACAATTAAATACCATCCGCGTTCGTTTCAGTAATGGTTCGGCATGTAAATATTTCGGAGCCATTAGCTAACAAGTTATTTAAATATATCTAGTCTTGCCCGTAGACTTTATTTTCGAGAAGATTTTTATGGTAAACCCTTTTAAAGTAAAGGAGAATCATTCTCAATGTAAAAATGTAATTTAATCGGTCCACCATTTGTACTTCTCAAAATTATTTCCACCCAATTGGAATAAAAAAATATAATAAATAAAAATTCATTCAACTAAATAAACTCATTTGCCTTTTTAAAAGAAATTTGTCGTGGTAATTACTGCATATAGCAAGATAAATATAGATTAAGTATAGTGTAGTGAAGGATACTCCTGGATTGGCCGGTGTAGAAGAATAGGACTGGATAGGCCTGTCGCCGATTCTTGTATTTTTCTTGACTAGACTGGCCTTTTGATCAAGTCTTTTCAACGGACGGTAGATTTAAAATCGTTTCTAGACTTTCAGTTGTTCCGCAAAGTAAGACTGTATCGTATCACAACATTCGTAAATAGGATTCAGGTTGAGTTACCAGCAACTTGCAATTATTCAATTTATTCATGACCACATTCAGGCTCGAACTTGACCTTCCTAGCTTGACCTTCGATCATTGTTGTGTCTTCTATGCAATGAGCCAAGAAGCACAACAAGACTTTGCAAGAAAATTCCAAGCAAGTGTGACCGGAGCAAACATTTGGGCTGCAACGTGCAGCGTGTGCAGCTGCTACGTGTAGGTTGAGTTACTGAATGCTGCAAAATGAATCGCAGTATCCTGCAAGGTGAGTTGCTTCAGCGTGAGCTATAACGTGCAGTGTCTGTTGCTGCATCGTGCAGATTGTGTTGCTGCATCCTCCAAAATTTGTTGCTGGAATATTCAAGCTTTGTTTGTCCATTGTGTAGGCTACGTTGCTGCAACACGCAGGCTGGACTGCTGCAATGTGTAGCGTCCGTTGTTGAACTGCGCCGTTTTGGTTGCTGCAACGTGCAGCGTCGATTACTGCCACCTGCAGAGTTACTGCCACCTGCCACCTGCCATCGTCTACCTTGAAAAAGAAATAAATTTGCTTATTCATTACTGGTTGTTCCGGTTTTGCCACTGAAATCCATTTGCTAACCTTTACAGTCACATATCCCATTCAATTAACTGATGAAAATAAGATATTTTTCTTCTTGTTAGATCAGGTCAACTTTATTAAACAAACCTGGACGACGCAGGTCCTCTGAGCGACGCAGGTCCTCTGAGCGACGCAGGTCCTCTGAGCGACGCAGGAGGACGCAGGTCCTCTGGAGGACGCAGGTCCTCTGGAGGACGCAGGTCCTCTGAGGGACGCAGGTCCTCTGAGGGACGCAGGTCCTCTGAGGGACGCAGGTCCTCTGCGGGACGCAGGTCCTCTGAGGGACGCAGGTCCTCTGGAGGACGCAGGTCCTCTGAGGGACGCAGGTCCTCTGAGGGACGCAGGTCCTCTGGAGGACGCAGGTCCTCTGAGGGACGCAGGTCCTCTGAGGGACGCAGGTCCTCTGAGGGACGCAGAAACAACGCTTGGCGACGGCGCGTCCAGCGGAGTCAATCGATCGCAGCGGCAGAGGCGGCAACTGTCAGTGGCGTGAGCTATGCTGCATGGAGCCGTTGAAGCACGAGGCCACCTTTGTACCGTTACACTGAAAGTAACATAACAAAATATTATTTATTTCGATTTTTGTTTACAAATTACTATACTATACAGCCTTTACGGACCGGCATTTAATTACCAATGGGCATATTCATGCACGTTAATACAGTTTTTTCTGTTCCTCTACATTATTTTTATACACCGGAATGAATCAGTCATTTTCAACGAATCCATTGAAATTTCTACTCTATTTATATTTCAGTTTGAATAATTATGCACTTCTACAAATCTCTACTGAGCTTTGATCCTCAGCCAAGCTATTCCAGCAATTCGGAGAACTGAGAGCGGCGTACAAATTGCATTTAGTGTGAGCCTTTGAGTAGATATAAATAATAATGCATAACGTTTTAGATTTCACTTTTTACCAAGCTGCACAATGTAAAATTGCTTTGCCAAGCTGCACAATGTAAAATTGCTTTGCCAAGCTGCACAATGTAAAATTATTTTTCCAAGCTGCACGATGAAAAAACCTAAATTTGCATCAAAAATCTCACCCTCATGCACATAACATGTTAACCTAAGAGTTAATGTTACTCAGTATATGTCCGCATCTCCGCACTGCGGGCAATTCGTCCGACGCGGCGGTTGCCTCGGACGTTTCCTCGCAGGCATGCGAGGTATAGCGGCGGCCTGGACCTGCCAGCTGGTGTACCGGCGCAGCAGCTGCGCTGCGGTGTGCCGGCGCAGGAACTGCGCTGGTGTGGCGGCGCAGGGGCTGCGCTGGTGTGGCGGCGCAGAAACTGCGCTGGTGTGGCGGCGCAGGGGCTGCGCTGGTGTATTGGCGCAGGAACTGCGCTGGTGTGCCGGCGCAGGGGCTGCGCTGGTGTGGTCGTCGTGGCCGCACCGGCGGCGCTGGTCAGTGACAGGGTTTGCCTGGTGTCAGTTTAATTCTCGAGTTGGTCTAGTTACGAGGTCCTGCAAATAAAATAATTGAGCATCACTTCATCACTTCTTGGAATCCGTCATTTTGCATTTTGCACATTCTTAATGATGAAGAAATTGAAGTAAACGACATGATTATAAAATTTTGATTGCGAAATTTATGAAGAAATGAGTAATTATTAATCCTAATAATTTACAATAAATAGTAGTAATGAATATTTTATATTAAATGATAATGACTAGAACTTATTGACACATAAATTCAGAAATTTATTAACTAATTTAAAAAATGGAACAAAAGTTGTGTCTGGGAGAAGTCATGCCATTCGTAAGTGTTTACAGCTGAACTGAAGTCCTATTTAGTTGTCTTTGTCTATGTTAAGTCGTTTTTATGTACTTTATTAATCTTATAAACTATCCAACTAGATGATGAACGAACACGTATTTGTCATTGAATTATTCGAAGTATGAATTCCATAGTACGGGTCAATAAGTTATAATATGAAATATTTTAACGTGATCGTTTGAAATGCCTAAAAATAGTTGCTTTTCGTCCTTTTTGTAAGCCGATAATGTTTTCTATTTAATACTACGTATGACGCAATTTCGACTATGTCCTAATATATTTTATACTAGTACTTTTCTACATTGCATTCAAATTACAACCTGACATTCATTCAATTAATCTATACAACATAACACAAAATCAAACAACCTTTTGTCCAAAAAATCACCTCCACCGCATTACGCGTCTCGTTAAGTCAACAAACATAGAGATAAAATTACACGGAAGCGACGATGTCGATACCACACACGCGATCCCACAGATAAATTTGTATCGGAAGAAGGACAGTTTCTTCCTGTGCGATCGATGATGGCGACTGACCAGAACGAATGGGATTATAGCGCCTCATTGGCTGGCCACTGGCCAAGCGGCTGGCAATATTAAGGAGGCAAAAGTGGCAATCGGCCCCCGTGGAGTTTGCTGCGCCAGCCGTAACCGATGTGAGTGTCGTCTGCAGGTGGCGGCTAATGTTATTCGCCACCGAATGCCTATTAAAACCAAGCCTCAATACACATAAACTTGACCGCAGTCAGTCGTTAACTTGAGCAGCCAAAGAATACCGCCATCTGAGAATCTACGGATTGTTTGTGCGTCATCAAAAGCTCAGTAGAGATTTGTAATGGTGAATAATTATTCAGACTGAAGTATAAATAGAATAAAAATTTCAATGAATAACTTGAAAATTCCATCGCACATCAAAATTAAGACTTAACCCAAATGAGATTTCAATTTAAAAGCGATCAAAATTGAAATCAGAATCAGTAAATGATAGAATAAACAATTCAGATCATAGCTGTCAGTCAAATACCGCAATAGTTTCTTTGAAATGGATAGTTAACGATAATTGTACAAGTATGTACGTCGTTCCATGATTAATTGAAGGAATAGTCAATGATAACGAGCCTAAAGTGGTAGCGTGGGAAACCGATAAGCTATATAACTAAAGGAATAAATTCCTCATTTTAATCATTCTTTCCTTGTTGGAACCACAACAGCCAATGAAAGACATGTCGAGAAAAAATTGATAAAGAATTTTCAACACACTTGACAATTGAAATTATTTCCGGTCAAGCAAAAATTCACATCCAAGTGTGCCTAAAATTTCTTCCAATATCTTAATTGATGGAACATTTATTGTTACTTTCTCGTAAAAATAATAGCAAATTTAACGCATGCAGATCACAAGAAGCCATATCATGTCGGCAATAACTTTTCAATCATCTTCCTGTTTTGTGAGAGCCTTAATTTTTGTTTGCTTCAAAGATTGCAGAAATTTTCCAAATATTTTCTTCCACAGATTAATTATGATATTTGGAATTGTGTGAGCTTTAATTGTTATTTGCATCAAAGATTGCGAAATTTTTTCAGATTTCTTTTTCCACAGATTGTGATTTTTGGAATTGTGTGAGCTTTAAATGTTGTTTGCATCAGAGATTGCGAATTTTTTCCAGATTTCTTTTTCCACAGATTGTGATTTTTGGAATTGTGTGAGCTTTAATTGTTGTTTGCATCAGAGATTGCGAATTTTTTCCAGATTTATTTTTCCACGGATTATGATTTTTGGAATTGTGTGAGCTTTCATTGTTATTTGCATCAAAGATTGCGAAATTTTTCCAGATTTCTTATTCCACAAATTGTGATTTTGGGAAAGAATTTGTTGAACTTTTCACGAGAAGACGGACCAGCAGTCATGCCGCGTTACACGAGGAGCTCGTCGAGGTCGCGATGATATCACGACTGAGATGAAAAACTCGCGTATTCATAAATTTTGACCACAAAATCTTCTTATCAATTTATTTTAAAAATATTTTTAAACGTATTGCAATGGAAAACATTTTTTAATTCCAATATTTAATTTCCACGATCAAAAATTGTGTAATTGGGTGTCAGTATCAAACACGCGCTTTTGATTGTCATCCGTTTTGCGTATAAGAGACATTATAACCAAAACTATAGAGGCAGTTTACAATGGACCTCAAATAACTGAAATACAATCAGAAGTAACACCCAATACTCTATTTAAACCTCTTAACTCTTTTGATAGCTCTTTATGAAACATTGTTATGAAAGTAAACTTTGGTGAATTTTATTGTTAAATAATTGGGAGTGAAACTAAAATTGCCTGCACTCAATTAGAGAATTGGGGTCATTGCACCATCTAAAACTGACAGCAGAACAAATTTTCCTTGAGCGCGTACGTGATGGAACTTATCTGCCAGCTGGTCTCGACTTATCGCGCCGCTAGCAAAACTTGATATGAGTATTGGAGGCGTGTGGGTGGTATTCCTATCAAATAGGTAATTTTTATTGCATAGTTAATTATCACATCACAGTATGTACTCAATTGTTGCGCCAAGTATCTGTCATTCGTTGGTTATACGAAAAGAGTTTTGTAATGATAATTTAAATTCTTGATTAGTTGAAAGTATATTTGTTTTCAGCCTTCAATCTTGATGAATTTTTATCTGCTGCTCAAAATTGAGCCATGAGCCGCTTGCGGTCATCATCAGGCTCACCACCGTCATCAGGCTCACCACCGTCATCAGGCTCACCACCGTCATCAGGCTCACC